GGTATCGGTATCAATTATCGGCTACATGAGTTTTAAAATATCGGCATATCGGATATCGGCCAAAATCCCAATATCGTGGATCCCTAATTTTAATCATGTAAAGCACTTTGTATTGTCTTTGTACTGAATTGTGCTATACAAATAAATTTGTGGGGAGAAATAAATAAAAGTAGGAATAAATGAATAAATTAAAAGCAGAAATAAAGAAAAAATAAATAAATAAATAACTGTATAAATACACAAGGAAAAAAATACACTTATATACACACAGAGAAATCAAAACAAAATAAAAGTATAGTATAAATATATAAATATATTTATGCATTTCTTTTATATTTATTTAATTATACTGTTATATATTATGTGTGTATTCATTTATTTTCATATTTTTTATTTAGTCGTTTTTGGTCCCTCTTGGGCCAATGATGCTGCATTCGTTTGCAGCAATGCTCCACATTTAGCTTTGTGGGTCTTTCATGGGCCACATGATAGTAAGATGAACTTTTATTTAAATATTGTTCCTTAAAAAACACCAAATCCATTATGAAGTACCTCCAGTCCAATAAATAAAAGAGCAAATAAACAGGTTATCCTGTAGTTTTATTACATTTTTATATGCAGCAGCCATTCTGTAGCTGAATTTAAGGATCTAACTTCAGGAAGGCTCTGATGGTAACATAAGCCATCTATTAACAGAGTTTCTGTTAATGGAAAAATCTCAGTTGTTGTTGCAGTTGTTTTTGTTCTTTTATATTCCAGCCACAGGATGTTTCCTCAGCATTTCATTAATCTGAATCATGCAAATAACCTCCTACGTCTCCCTTAGAACTGCATATTCTGTTTATCTGTGTAGGCGGATTCAAGTGCTGTTCAGATCCTCAGAAATCCATCTGAACTAGAAAACAAAACTAGACTAATGATATCTCTGCTTTAAAAACAGTAAGTTTGTGTTAATTAATCATTTTGGAGGGTATTTTCTCCAAACTCTGACTCAATAAATAATGACACCAGTCATGAGCAGTACAACTGATGGGTCCGTACACCAAAGAAACTGTAAAGAAATTAGGTTTCAACTTCTATAGAACCGCTACTCTGAAACCATAGAAGCTTGGTTTTTATTTTATGAAATCTCGGTTTAAAAATATGATTTCATTTGAGAGCTGTTCTGGTTTAATTTTTTTTTTTTAATAAATCACATTCAAACCTTTGAGGTAATGACATGAAGTGATCACAAGTGTCGATATTGAGATGAGTGCGTAAATGAGGTTGAGAGTAAGAAGCTTCAAGTGGCACATGCAAATGTGAATCTAACAGAGCTAGAAAAAGAAAAATGATTGAAAGAGAGCTGACAGTTTCTTACCACTCTCTTGTATAGATCTCTGAAGTGCCTCTGCCAGTTCTCTGTCAGCGATCTCCTCTGGACGTGCTTCCTCGCGCCCCTCGGCGCCGTACGCCAGCCGGGCGCACTCGGGCAGCTCTGCCTCAGACAGGAAGCGGGTTTCGGTGCCCGTAGTGCCGATAACGAGCACGCTCTTCTTCAGGTCAATTGAACACTAGAAGGAGAAAAAACAAAAAAGTGTTCCCAAATGATCTGCAGAGGAATCTGAATAAATTATAATACCACTGATATAACTGCAAAAAAGTTTAAATCTGTCTTTTTTAGCAATTAATCTGTTTATGATTCTCTAACAGCTTAACGACACAAGCCTAAAAGTTCCACTATTCAAGTTAATCCATCCCATCAATGTTTTTGAGAGGCACCTAACATGATGCTGAGGATAGAATTGCTATATTAACCAAAGGTCTCCTAACCGTCGCCTGTGAGCTACCAGTAGCTCTCCAAAGGGTCAGTGATATAAAATATATAATTTGATTTGTTAGGCAATAAATTCTTTCCGAGTTTCAGCCAACCACAGTCTCCTGTCTCCTAATTTCCTCCCCTTACATGGATTACTTGCCAGTTAGCTGCCAAACATTTCTCGCTTGCACACAGACACAGTCTTAAATGCAGACTAAAGTGATCAGGAAAGATGGGAATAACAGCATCACAGTTCAATCAAAGAGAAGCAGAAAGCTGATTTCCAAGAAGAGTGGTGACTGGAGGTTTATTACACAAATGTGAACGAAAAGTGTGCTTTTCTCATCTGTGGAGCAGGCCCACTGATCTCTATTCACTGGATTGCTGATAGCCCGCTGGTAGTACGGAGTTGAATTGAAGCCACTGGCCGGCATAATAGTACTCCCTAGTTAGACCGGTCGCAATGTAAACAATATGTGCCCAACAGCATCGAACAATAACGTTCTCATTTTCAGGAGGGCTTAAGACTTTTAAAATAAAGCTAAATTCATCACTTTGACACACTCTTGCTGTTTCATAGCATAAGTAGATAACTTAACATATGATAAAAAAAAAAAATAGGCACATCACATTGCATAGTCATTGAAGTGCTAAATTGATGATGTACATGTAAAAGACATGTATTGATCACATTGTTATGGTAACTATGGTAACTAACTAACTAAATATTACATATGATTTCAAGATTTTACATCAAGACTGAAATACAAGCACATGTCCGGTAATGCTATAGTATTTTTCTTTTTATACATGAATGCTGGCATATACTTTTATGCTGTGTCTGTGAATGAGCCTTTAAAAATGTTTGAGTTATTTTTTCGTCAATATAACATGTTATATATTTCAGCACATGACTTTTTCAAATGAGAAATACAACAAACACTACGAAAACGATGGCGTCATCCACCTAATATAGAATTACTACATTGACATTTCAGGTAATTACTTTCTATTTATTCAACTTTCTATTTTCAAACATTAGACACAATGTCGATGTCTAACTCTGTTAATATCTTCGAGTCGGTCCGAGATAACCAGACTAATGTTATGCAACATAGTATACTATAGGATACATCGGAGTATATATGGATTTTCCTGGTTAGTACACCCACTGACTGTGAAATTACCTGTGAAATGTCTTCCCACAGCCGGCAAACTGCTTGTTTTTGCAGTCAAATGCTACATACGTAGGCTTTTTTACTGCGCATCTCTGTGGGAGTGGGGAGTACCAATATGGTGGCCGGTGGCTTCACTTTTGACGGGCAATCAGAATTCCAGTGAATAAATAGAAATCAGGGAGCTTTATAATCAGTTTTATAATCAAAGATTTCAGGCCTAGCTTTCACCAAAGCTAGGCCTGAAATCTTTGACAATAAAACCCCCAAAGGACAGCTAACTAAATGAGGTGATATTTAAAGTGGCATAAATGATGACTAAGCACAAAAAGCTGGTTACTGACATATTTTTTAAAGAAGCAACGACTGCTGTGCTGGAATCTATTCTGGAACCAAAGGAATAAAGCAGCGATTCTGTCTGCAGTTCGTCAGGTTGGACTAGTGTCCTATCTGAATGATGGGACACAGCTAGAACAGGCTGCCACTCGGGATTTATAACACACTTCAAAATGGATCCAAACTTACCTACTTTTCTAAAATACCACTGGTCTTTAAAAATCCATACCAAAACAAACCCGTATATTTATATGACCATGAGTCTATATGGCTGCTTTGTGACATGTGTGGCCCTCTTGCTCTTTTATTGTGGAAAAGGAAGATAAAAGGTTGGAGGCCCCTGAATTAGGCAAACCTTTTTAACAAATAATGTTAGGTATTATGCACTCAGAGGACACACCTGGTGTCTCTTCAGCATGTCCAGGCCGAGCAACATGTCCATTGGCTGATCCTCCAATATGGAGAAAGAACAAGGGAGAAAGTCCCCTTCGATTTGGACCTGAGCTGGAAGCAAGGAAAAGAAAAAAACACATTTTTAAATAGTTATTGTATTCCTCAATTCAAAAGCCAGATATCTGAAATGTAATAATCAGAGAGGGAGGATTACAAAATGTCACAATTAGCCTTTCTCTGCTAGAAAAGATATAAGCAAAAACAAAAAAACAAAAAAAACACCCAAAATGATTCTGGTTTTTAGTTTAATGTACAACATTTTAACGATTTGAACAGCTGTGCTTTTCAGAGGCCATCCTCAAACTAACCCAAGTGAACTCTTCCTATGATCTTCTGAGTGCCCACTCCCTTGGCGATCCCTGCCCAGCGCCGGTCCACTAATCGCATAATGTTGCAGCGCTCCGCACACGCTTGGCTCATGATGGTCATCTGTGCTCCTTAATGTGAAAAACAAAAAGAAAAGAAACATTAGAAAACAGGACTGAAGTAAGAAATCTAGGAGACAGAACAAAAATAATCTGAAAGTGCATCAAACATGCATAAAAATTGAAATTCCCTCAAGCGTTTTAATGTCTGGGAACCAAAGCCAAGTTATTTTTCTTATGTTGAAACTAACCACAGATCAGCCTTTGTAATTTTATTACCACTTCGTTTCTTGACCAAAAAACTTGTAGAAACTTTATCAGGCATCAGGATTTTATGTTCATTACCTGAGTCAACAAAAGCTTTCACAGGATGGCCATTGACTTTGCAGTTAATGTACAGCATAACCACCTGTCCAAAGCTTTCTGGGGCCTCCTCCATTGCAATTGTCATATTTTCCTCCACGTTGTGCTGCCTGGTATATGGGGCAGTGGGGGGAAAAAAATCAAAAATCAAAACATGCAGACTATGACTGAGCTGCGTCAGGGTTACAGGGATGTTTATTTTAATCCACTTGAGTGACTAGTTTACAATGTTTTCCTACCGGATATCCTCCTCAATCTTTGCCTGAGCTTCCAAATCAAACGGATCAGCTGTCAGGAGTCTGATTCTCTCTTGCTCTCTTTTGGCTCGATCCTGTTGTTGCTCCAGCAGCACTTTGGTAAAACGTTCTGGGGGAAAAAAAAAGGGATTTTATCAAGATTTTCTGCAATAGACCAGCTTAGAGTAGTACAGCATAATAAAGTGGAAGAAAATGATAGAGGGATTTTCTTTGTTTTGTCTGTATATCTTGTCACTTTATATCTATACTAGATATATAAAAATTATCAAATTAACAGCCTTGAATTAAATCAAATTAACATCAAGCCATTTCGATTCAGTCAATACAGCAATTGTCAACGCTGCACTCAACCTGGTCCTCAAACAAAAGAAAAAAAAATATTTTCTAAATAAAATTTTAAAAATCCTGTTGTAGTTTGTCATGTTAAGGGCATATCAAACATGTGGATGGTGTTCTGGTTTAAAGAAAAACCAAAATCAAACTTTCTGAACTTCAAAGATTCCAAATAATAGGAGCTTAATTAAACATCCATAAAGAGATTGCTGTGAAAATGTTAAGACATATAAAATCGATCCTGTTCCGCACATAAAATCAGCAGATTGCACGTTCTAGCATCAGTGGCCCTAAAAGAAAGATGAGGTTCAAAGCCATGGAGATATTAAACTGCTACTAACAAAAGCTTCTTTTATAAACATGCCAGATTATTTTATTTGTCTTTTCGTTTTGATTTAATAGTATAACAATTCTCTGCAGTCCTGCTGAATATCCAGGTGTTTTTTTTTCTGCGTTAATAATATTCTAGTAATTTCTAATAGTCCAAACATGTTTACATGTGCACAGAATCTTTCTCTCCTCCTGTATTGTACCAAAACCCCATTTGTTGTAACAATGACAGCAGATATCTTTCTGTGTCCATTTGCACCGGACTTTCAGAAGTTGTAAAAATGACACAAAAACTGCAGCAGCAGTTGAATTTCCGATTCAGAAAATCACTTTGCAAACGTGCAAAGTGATCCTCCACCTATGAATTTGCACAGTTTGGTCAATAAATTATGATCAGCATACTGATGAAAACAAAGAAGCAAAAGGTTTGCACATTCTGTCTGTTTAACTGCAATTGCAAATCCCTTTGAACCTTCTTTAGAGGTTTACTCTGCGCATAAAAACACATTTGCACCTGTTTTAAGATGCACAAACCTTCTGCAGCTCAAGTCCTTAGTGTTTAAATTAACTATGCATTGCACAATGCTGAAACATGGTGGAAGAGGCAGCATACTTTGGAGAGGCTGTTCTTTAGTAGGTAGGAAAGCTGGATTAAGATAAATGAAAGGGGAAAAAAAATAAAAGCAAACACATGCAGAATTTCCCAGTCAATACTCTAAGTGCAAATCTGTATTAGGATCTCAAATATTGCTATTGATCTGTGCTACCCATCAAATCTGACTTGTCTTTAGATAAACAAAGGTGGTACACAGACATCTCAAACATCTACAGCTGTAAATGCAGTAAAGGATGTTTCTGTATCATGATGAATAAAAATGGATGGTCCACTTGTTGGATTGTTTTTAAATATTAAAAACTGTACATCATTTTCATATTCTACTTTTCTAGTCTACTTTACAGATTGCAATAAATAATATTGAAGGTTTTGTTGGTAATGAGACTAAATATGGAAAAACATGAGGTTTTTATATTGCGTGCCTCTATAAACATCAAGGGCCAATAGGTTTTATTTCATCAATCTTAGTTCACCTAAATCTCCGCTCAGCAGGGCCTCAGCAAGTGGAGGGTTTCTCTCTTTGAGCAGAGAAAGCTCGTGTGGATTGGATAATAGCATCTGTTGTAGTAAGGCGGGGTTGTCCAAGCCCTGTGGCGAGGAACCGCGAAAGGCCATCGGCGTGGAAGGTTGTTCGGCACGCGGCGGTGGCGGCTGCTGCTGCTGCGGGGCTTGTTGCTGCAGCTGCGGGGCAGCATGCTGATTGGCTGAAGATGAGGTGCCAGGAACTGTTATGGATCTGAAGTCGATACGAGGCAGACCTGGTGAGAATAAAGAGAGAGAGGTTAGCCTTTTTCAATATACAGGGAGACGTTTGGTGTCCGTCTCCAGTGGTCATTGGGTGAGAGGTGGAGTTACCAGATCGTCACAAAAACAAGAAAAACAAGTAAGTGCAAGCTCACATTCTTTCCTTAGGATTCTGAGACGACAATAAACATAAAAGTCATGCTTTTGGATATTCTAAGAAGCTGAAATAACTGGCAAGAAATGGCATGAAAATAGATGCAGACAGACTGTGGGCAGGGATTCAAACTGGTGACCTTCTTTCTGCCATGCAATGAGTTAACAACCTTCTCAGCATCAAGACAAACTAACAAGACAGACAGCAGGCAGTTTACCTGGAAAGGCTGGTTGAGTTTGTGGAGGCCGTCTATCAGCTTGTCGAAGAACCACCACATCTCCATCCTTGACACCGTAAGTCCCCAAGGCACGGGTGGGGTCTTTGAGGGGCTGTTCTACATATGTGATCTGGGTAGAGCGAAAAATTCAGATTTTATTCTCGCTGCACTGGGAGAAGATTACATTCATTCTGGTTTAACGGTGTGCCATCTGATTTGATAAACAACCTTTTCCATTAACTGCAATGATAACTGAAATCTTTATCTTTTCCTGTAGATATAAACAGCCTATTTAAAATGCATCTTAAAATACACAGGGTATTACACAGGATTATCTTACCATGACATATATATCCTAGAGTGTTTGTAACACACCTTATGTAATATATGATATTTAAGCTCTATTATGCAATTAATAATAAAAAGAGATTAGGGTAGATTGGCAACAATGTGGTGTATCTAGAATAAAGTGTAAAATGTTGTCAATGTGCCGCTATTGTTTTCATTGTAAAAGAACTAGGAAAAAACTGTCTACTCTCCCAATACACAACTTAAAGAGACAGTTTTTTTGTTTTTTTTGTTCCCTTTCTCAAATAGGATTCAGAATTTGATCAATTACTTGAATTATCAATTTATGGAAAATCAGGATTTGGGCTTTCATAGTTCAGAATGACATAAGTTTGTTGCTTTTTATTCTTATACCTCTACTTATAACTTAAAATTTAGCTCAATGTTTTACAATAATTACTGCAAACATGCGGTGAATAACATTTTCACTGCAGTTCTTGTGGTTTCATTTTGTTTAATCCAGTAGAGGAATTATGGCGTCAAACTATGAACGTTTTTCTTATCTAATGAAATGAAAAAGAACATAGAAGTATTTTTGTTAAATTTTGCATTTATAGTGCATAATGGGAGGATAAACATGTTTTGATGCATTTCCCCCCCCAGCATTTGAGCTAATAAACACGGATAAAATCTGATCAAGCTAAGATCAGCTGATTTTAACCTTTAGCAAAGTAAATTATGAATCCTTAAAAGCCAGTGGATTGAATTAATTCTGCCATCAGTTTTTAAGGAACTTCTTTCCCCACTACAGTGTGAAAGCAAGTAAAGCAACTTCCATGTGAATAAATACACTAATAAAAAAGTTCTCTGACAGATGACATAATATTCTTGCACCTAGTATGTTTAGTTTTAAAGCTGAGGGTACAGTATTGAACAGAGACTGAACGCTGTTTTTAAAGTTACCCTACATCTTGATAAGCAGACAAATGTAGTTTTCAGTTAACTGCCCAACTAAATTCACAGTTATGTTTACTTGCGCCCTAAAAGCTGAAGCCGATCCGAAGTATGCAATTAAGTGGCCGAAACCCATGCCTAGAACTGTTTTCTTTGTCAATAACTTGTTTCACAACAGTTCAGACGTCAAAAATCAACAACACGATTTATGCTAGCTAGGCTAGCTATTAGCCGCGTTAGCTCCGTGGCTACATTCAGTCTTGCCTGGATTTCCCCAGCTGGGATTCCTGATTCCAGTTCACAAAGTGCTACAAAGTCCCTCAACTCCAGCTCTGGGGACACGTCGAGGGCAAACGTGGTTTCTGGGCGATCCCTCGGCGCGCAGAAAACGGTGACCAGCATCGTTTTTTGGAGCGGGGGGGCAGAAACAGGATCACTGGACAAACCCCTGTTCTTCTACCACAGAATGCGGTTAGTGTAGTTCCTTATGTCACCAAGTAAAAAGCACGACCAGCACGGAGGGCTTTCCTAAAACTTAAAATATGTATGTGAATACAAAGTACATTACAAATCGAAACTATTGTGAAATCGAAAGTCGGACACAGTTTGGACTCACTTGGTAAACGTCTGATGTGACAGTTTCTCTTTTAAGAACAACAAAATATCAAGTATTGCTCAGCAGTGCCGTATGATTTTCGGCATGTCGTACATCAGGAATTTCTTCATCTCTGCTTTTCGGGTTTTAAACGTTCCATGGTAATGTTCCAGCGCCACCTAGCGGATTCATATATATGAATATGAATA